TTGAGGAGGAAATCAAAGCCGAGAACGAGAGAGAGAGACAGAGAGATCTGATGAAATGCTTTGAAAACTTGGAACCAGCACTCTCTATTTACTGTCTGAGTATTTAGTCAAATAACAACAACAACAAAAACAACAAAAATAATAGTAGTTACAATAACTAACTTTTTTGAATGTTTGCTGTAGATCAGATACCATTCTGAGTACCTTTCATGCATGAGCCCTTTTAGTCTTCATAATAGTACAAGGAAGTGAGTGTTATTATTATTATCCCATTTTCAGATGAGAAAACCAAGGCCCAAGGAGTTTTAATAACTTTCTCAATTTAACAGGGATGGTAAGTGGCAGGGTTAGGACTCATGTCCAGGTCACCTTGCTCTAGCATCTAAGTCGCCTGCTTGTGCCAATCAAGGAGCTTTCTGTCTACAGGCTACTGGAGAGGGGTTTCTGCCACCAGCAATAATGCAGCTTTAATTGTAAAATCATAATACCTACCTAATAAAGTTGATGAAAGACTTAAGTGGTTTGTAGATGTGAATTCATTTAGTGCACTGTCTGCCACATAACAAGTGTACAGATGTTAGACGTTGCTGTTGCAATTGAATCATTGAGTCTTACTGTCCAAACTGCTCAGAGAAGCAGAGAGGAGTAGAGACAGTAGGCTTTTTGGAACTACTTATGTAGTTATTAGTCTTGCCTAAGTTCTGAGAAATGGACTTCATCTGGAATTACAAACTCACACACTTATGGGAACAAGAAGCTGGTATAAATCACTATTTCTGAACTTTGGTACTGTTGGCATTTTGCAACCAATAATTCTTGGTTGCGTGGGCTGCAGTGTGCACTTTAGGATGTTAGCAATATCCTCTGCATCTACCTGCTAGGTGTGGGTAGTACCTCCCCGCCCACCATGTGATGATCAAAAATGTCAAAAATCAAAAATTGAGACATTGCCAAATGTCCCTTGAAGGACAAAATTATCCCCAGTTGGGAACCACTGATGTAAATGAATGAAGCCCGTGCTTACATTGCGTGAGTCCTGGTGCTTGTGTCATTGTGAAGGATGGCCCTGTCTGTCTAGAGAGGCGGCCACTGCTTGGCTCCAGCTGGCTGCTGCGGAAGGGGAAAATAGACCCATTATTGTCAGATCACCCAGATTTTCAAGAGAAATCCAGGGTCTAGTCATATATGTATATATATTTTATGGGGTACATGAAATGTTTTGTTACAGGCATGCAATGTAAAATAAGCACATCATGGGGAACGAGGTGTCTGTCTCCTCAAGCATTTATCTTTTGAGTTACAAACAAACCGATTATATTATTTAAGTTATTTTACAATGTACAACTAAGTTATTATTGACTATAGTCACCCTATTATGCTATCAAATAGTAGGTCTTACTCATTCTTTTATTTCTTTTTATACCATTAATCATCCCCACCTCCCCACAACAGCCCCCTACTAACCTTTCCAGCCTCTGGTAACCATGCTTCTATTCTCTATATTCATGAGTTCAATTGTTTTTGATTTTTAGATCCCACAAATAAGTGAGAAGATGTTACTTTCAGTAACATCTGAAAAACCAAGTCTTCCAGTGCTTGGTTTATTTCACTTAACATAATGATCTCCAGTTCCATGCAAGTTGTTGCAAATGTCTACATCTCATTCTTTTTTATGGCTGAATAGTACTCTATTGTATATATGTATCACATTTTCTTTTTCCATTCATCCGTTGGTGGACACTTAAGTTGCTTCCAAATCTCAGCTGTTGTGAACAGTGCTGCAACAAACATGGGAGTGCAGATAGCTCTTTGATGCTCTGATTTCCTTTCTCTTGGATATACACCCAGCGATGGGATTGCTGGATCATATGGTAGCTCAATTTTTAGTTTTTAGGGGAACCTCAAAACTGTTCTTCATAGTGGTTGTGCTAATTTACATTCCCACCAACAGTGTACAAGAGCTCTCATTTTTCAGGTTTTTAAATGTTGGTCCCCATTTCTTATAACTTGTTGTAGGCCAAATGAAAGACAAGACCTCTGTGGTCATGTTTGGTCCCCTGGCTGCCTGTGTGCAAGATTTGGCCTGGAGGATTTCCCAAGGTGCTATTCCAGATGTCTCTGCGATGCTGGACAGGTTTCCCTTTTCTTATGTACCATTGTCCCCAAGAATGCTGCCTTTCAAAACAGTTGTGACGATCAAAGTAGCATTTAATTCTCTTAATTGGTTAGGTTTGTGTCGCTCCCTTAAACAGAAACATATTTTTAACTTGTCCATTGGTAACGTGAATTCTAGAGTGAGTAAAATGAAAAGGATTATTTAGAAGATGCTCTCTCTGTGGAGATTTCAACTGGAGACCTCTATCTTTTTACTTATCTCTGGTGTCTGTGGATGTTTTCATTGCTTGTAAATGTTGGAACTTCAAGAACTCCTTTAAGTTAGTTCACCAATATGCGTGATTTATTATAAAGATACAGGGGAATTTCTTGGAACCTACAGAGGACATGTATAATCAAACCTCAGAAGGGATCAGAGATGCATTTTTCTTTTTCGGTGAAGCTTTTATTATGGGCAGATGGCAGGGCAGGGGGCTCAGTCCTTCTTGGCAGCTGCTTTCCTCCTGGTGGTCATGCTCAGCTCCTCCCACTTCCTCTCTGTGCAGATGTGCATCCTCACCCTTTTCTTGATGAACCTGAAGGCCCATTTGTCCCTGGAGACCTGTGGTAACTCCGTGGTGCTCCATTCACATGGAGCAAAGTCGTTCACCTCTCAGATCACGCCCCGTGTGAACTTGGTATGTTTGGCCAGGTGCTGTCTTGTGTCAAGTGACATTATTCTCTTGTTTTCTGAGATGTATCTTTTATTCATTTTTCTTTCTCCAGAGAATAGCATTTTCTCTTTTCTTAAGCACACAACTGCCCCCATCCTGGAGTTATGTACTGCTCAGGCTTCAGTATGAATTTTCCATGAGAGAATGTGATTACATCAGTTGGAGATAGGCTTCAACCCATATGTCCACCATGCTATGAGAGTATCACAAAGCCAGATGATCCACTTTATGGTATAAGGTGCTTGTTTTGTTTGTGCTGAATCTCCAAAACCTAGAATCTTGCCTGGCACATAGGGGCACTTATGGTCTCTTCCATCTTCATACATCCTCCTTGTGTGACCTCATCCAGGCTCAAGACTTAAAATATCATCTAGGTTCTGCGGATGCTGAAACTGTCATCCCTAGGGTAGAATTGAACTCCCTTGACATCTTCACCCAGATGAAGGCATCTAACGTTCACACATTTAGACTAAACTTGCCTAAAACCAAACTCTTTTTCCAAAATATGTGCTCTTCACCTCTAGGGATGAATCTTTTTCATCTCAGTAAATGGTACACTACTGCTCAGGACTGCAGCTTTGCAGGCATCTTTGGCACCTGCCCTTCTGTCACTCTCCACTTCCAAGTTATCCTTAAATCCCATTGGCTACAGAACCTGACCAGTTCTCACTGCATCACAACTGTGATTCTGGTCAGAGTTACAGTTATCTCTCAGCTGGGTTGCATCCATAAATAGTATGCTAACCAGCTTCACTGCCCCCTGGAGTCTGGCATGGAGTCAGATCATGTCATGCCTTGGCTTTCTATTTATATATATATATATTTATTTATTTATTTATTTTTGAGACAGAGTCTCACTCTGTCACCCAGGCTGAGTGCAGTGGCCGGATCTCAGCTCACCGCCTTCTGGGTTCACGCCATTCTCCTGCCTCAGCCTCCTGAGTAGCTGGGACTACAGGCGCCCACCACCTTGCCGGCTAGTTTTTTTGTATTTTTTAGTAGAGACGGGGTTTCATCGTGTTAGCCAGGATGGTCTCAATCTCTTGACCTCGTGATCCACCTGCCTTGGCCTCCCAAAGTGCTGGGATTACAGGCTTGAGTATTTTTTATTTTTTTTGAGACAGAGTTTCACTCTCGTTGTCCAGGCTGGAGTGCAATGGTGCTATCTCAGCTCACTACAACTTCCACCTCCTGGGTTCAAGCTATTCTCCTGTCTCAGCCTCCTGAGTAGCTGAGATGATAGGCACCCACCACCATGCCAAGCTGATTTTTGTATTTTTAGTAGAGATGGGGTTTCATCATGTTGGCCAGGCTGATCTCAAACTCCTGACCTGAGGTGATCCACCCGCCTCGACCTCCCAAAGTGCTGGGATTACAGACATGAACCACCGTGCCCAGCTGGCTTTCAAAACCCTCTAATGACTTCCAATATCCTTCAGAGTGAGAGCCTAAATATGGTAAGATGTCAAAAGGTCTGCGTGGTCTGCTCTCCTTCCTTCCCATTTCTGTCTCTCTGCTTTTCACTATCCTGTTTATTCACCTTTCGTCTCCAGCCACAGAGGCCTCCTTGCTATGTCTCAGATGAGGATGCTCCATCCCAGGGCCTTTGCATCTCCTTCTCCCCATGTCTAGAGAGACTAGATATGGGCATAGTTTCCCTCTGCCTTTTTTCATATTACTTCTTCAGTATCTTGGTGAGGCCGTCCCCTGCTCCCTATATAAAGCAGCATGCCCTTAACCCCCGGCATGCTGTAGTCCCTTCCCTTTCCTCCCTGCCCTCAGAGCATTTGTCACTATCTTTTGGTTATTGTCAATTTCCCCACTAAAATACAAGTTTATAAGATCATAAACAGTATTTTTTTAAAAAATTTTTTATTTTAGGGTAATTTTAGCTTTATTAAATAGTTGCAAAGATAGTACAGAGAATTCCCAGGTACCCCTCACCCAGTTTCCCCATTTGTTAACAATGTACATGACAGTAGAACGTTGTATTTGTTACCTCTGATAGGTACCCCTCACCCAGTTTCCCCGTTTGTTAACATCGTACATGACAGTAGAATGTTGTATTTGTTACCTCTGATGAATCAACATTGATACATTACTGTGCATTCAAGTTTATAGTTTATTCAAATGTTCTTAGTTTTTAACCTGAATTTTTTTTTTCTGTTCCAGGCTCCCATTCTGGTTCCCACATTACATTGAGTCATCGTGTCTCCATAGGCTCCTCCTGGCTGTGATAGTTTCTCAGATTTTTCTTGCTTTTGATGGCATTGAGAGTTGTGGGTGGTAATGGTCAGGTATTTCATAAAATATCCCTGAATTGGATTTGACTGATGTTTTTCATGATTAGACTGAAGTTATGGGTTTGGGGAAAAAGATCACAGAGGTAAAGTGTCATTTTCATCACATCATATCAAAGGCACATGCCATCAACATGATTTATCACTATGATACTGACCTTGAGCACCTGGCTGAAGTCCTGCTTTGTCAGGTTTCTTCACTGTTAAGTTACCATCTAACCCCTACCCTTCCTTTATACTGTGTTTTTTGGAAGGAAGTCACTATGCACAACTTATGCTTATGGAGGGGCAGTTATGCTCCACCTAAGTGAAGGCAAAATATCTACATAACTATTTGGAATTCTTCTGCACAGAAGATTGTCTTTTGTGCCCCATTTGTTTATTTGTTTAGTCATTTATTTATATCAGTATGTATCATAGATGTTGATTTTAGACTTTGTCTATAATCTAATACCACCTAATGTAGTTGCTCACATTGTTTCAGCCTTGCCTCTTGGGAGCTCTTTGGGTTTGCTTCTGTGTCTCTTAAGCATACTGCTATTATTGTGGGCTTTAAAAAAAAAAGCATTTTTTTACTTTTTGATAATACAAGATGCTCCAGGATCATCTTGCATATTCTGGTCCCAGCCCTAGAATGAAACATTTCTCCACAGAGTCCTGGTTCCTTGTACTAGAAAATGGCATTTAGAAACCAAGATCTAGGTTCTAGGTGTGCTCATTGTTACTGAATGTTATTTCAGTTAGGTTCTGTAGTTGACAGAGCAAGAAAATGTATGTGTGTATACTAATGTGTTTATATACACGTATCTATAAATATTTCTATGTGTAACCATCTATTTGTAACCACTCCTATAGTGTAACCAACTATACCAAGCTAAACATGAGTTTATATTGATGTCTACAATGCTAATTGATTACTGCATGGCTCGTTCTCCTCTTCTCCTCTTGCTTGTTTGTAACAGTGTCTTTTTTTTAACGCCCATTATACAGAATAGTGCCCAGACACAGTAGGTAGTCAATCAATATTTGTTGAATCAATTTGTTGAGTAAATTTGAGAAGGAATGAATCAATGTAGTCTGCCCCTCCCTACTAAGGAGAGAAGACTTTAAAAGAGAGAGTGTGGAAAGTACTTTGGTGTGATGGTGCATGCCTGTAGTCCGAGCTACTCAAGAGACTGAGGCAAGAGAATTGCTTGAACCTGGGAGGCAGAGGTTGCAGTGAGCCAAGATTGTGCCACTGCACTCAAGCCTGCGTGATAGAGGGAGACTCCATCTCAAATAAATAAATAAATAAATAAATAAAAGGTGCTCTAAGGATCAAAGGAATAAAAAGTATTTGCTTCTCTGTAATAACAGCATCAACAGTACTTTTTCAGTTTCAGCCCTTATTGCTCTATTGCCAGATGCTACAATGAAAGTATTTATTAATGTTAAAACATTAATTTTTAAAAAGTTATTTCAGGCCAACTCCAATCTGACTATACAAAAATGAGAAAACTGGCCAATCTCTTCAGTTTTCTCAAAACATGCACCTCAAATTTCCACTATCCAATTAGTCTCCTTTCATGAACAACTGCAAAACTGAACAAAACATAGGAAGCAATTATTTTCAGACATTACATGATGTGTAGCACAGGGCTGTGATCTTTGAGAGAAAAAAAAAATAATCAAGATGAGCCACATGATCACTCTGGACTTCTGCTCACCACGTTCCTGACTACAGTTTAGGAGGGTCAACCCAAGCAGATTATAATGGTCTTGCTGAATTGAGGAAAAAGGCATCATATTTTGGGGAGAAAGAATGGATGGCATTTGTGGGGCAGAATCCTAAAAGAAGAAAGCTCCAAAAATATGCAGAGCACCTTCTTGAGACTTGAACTAATATTAAGTTAGCTGTGCACTGACTGAAACTACACAAGGATGAACAAAGAATGATTACCAAATAGAGAATAAGTAAGTCAGAGTTCAGTGTTGGGAGACATTTGAGTTCCAGGTGAGATTGAGTTGAATACACAGGGTCTGCACAATGACCCCCCAAAGTGTGTTACAATAGCAGTAGGGCTAAACTAGCCTGAAGGTAGAAGGTAATCAAGGCCAACCAATCCATTTTGGGCTGGGTAATTCTTGTGTGTGTGTAGCTGTTATGTGCGTTGTTTACGAGCATTCCTGACTTCTACCAACTGGATGTGGTAGTACCCTCCATGTAGCTGTGACAACCAAAAGGGCCTCCAGATATTGCCAAATGTCCTATGGGGAGAGGAGTGAAAAGTTACCATTAGTTGAGAAGCACTGATTTAGACCAGTCCGATAAACTTAAAAACAAGCCTCCAAAGAATTGAACTGGTATGCAAGTAACTTAACCAACTTCCAAACACTCTTTAAAGGAAGACCACAAAATATAGTCACTCAACAACGTAAAGTAATGTTCAGCATCAAGTAAAAGTCACTTGGGAAACAAAAAAAGCCAGAATAATATGGAATCTCAGAAATAACCAAGGTGATGTAATTTGTAGACAAGGACTCTAAAAAAGCTATTATAATTATACTCGAGCATTTTAAAAACATGTATGAGAAAAGAAATTAAATATATTAAAAGTGTAAAACCAAGTGGAATTTTGATGGCTAGAAATATAATACTTGAAATTAAATATATGTAATTCAATACTTAAAATTAAATATATGCTATGTATATATTACACATAAACAAAAGATTAGATGCTGAAGAAGAAAAGTGTGTTGAATTTGGAGACATATCTATAGAAAATATCTAAATTAAATCACAGAGAACCCCCACAACAAAAGATGAGATTCTCAGTGACATGTGGGACAATAGCAAGTGGTCTAATTTATGCGTTATTGGGGTCCCAGAAAATGAAAGAAGAGAAAAGAAAATATATTTGCGAAAAATAATTGCAAAAAGTTTCCAAAATTACTGGAAATTATGAATCCTGACATTTAAATATCCCAATAAACCCAGAGCAAGATAAGCATAAGTAAAGCCACACAAGGTTATACCATAATCAGATTGCTAAAAACCAATAATAAAAAGAAAATCTTAGCAGTATATAGAGGGGGAAAAAAGACACACAAAATAAACACAGCAAAGATAAGCACACTTCTGCTTTCTCATCATAAATACAAGCCACAAAACACTGAAGCAACCCCATTTACTGGTGAAAGAAAAAAAGAAAAGGTTAACCTAGAATTCTATAACCAGTGAAAATATTCTTCAAAAATAAAGAGAAAAAAGACACTTCATTCCAATTCAACCTGAGAGTATTTGTCCCCAGCAGACCCTCACCACAAGAAATTTTTGTTTATTTTTTTCCTAAAGAAACTTTTTCAGGCTGATAGGAAATAATACCAGATGAAATTGAATCTCCAGTGCCAAAATTGAGAGACAGGTAGGTAAATACAAAAGGCATTTTTCTCATTTAAAACATTTCTTTTGTATAGTTTCAATTACAAAATAACTGACTTTAAAGCAAATAATAGCATGTGTTTTGAGTTTGTTACAAATGTGAAAGTTAAGTGTGTAACAACATTAGTACAGAAGACAGAATGGAAGAAATGGAAGTATATACTATTTTAAGATTCTTATTTCATGTCAAGTAGTATACTATTATTTGAAGCTTGTGATAATTTAAAAGTACATATTATAAACCTAGAAATACCACTAAAAGGAAAACAAATATAGATAATAAGCCAATAGAGGACATAAAAAATAGTTTAAAAATCCAATTAATCCAAAAGAGGTAGGAAAAGAGAAAAAAGGAAGGGAAGAAAGGTGGGGCCAATAGAAATATAAAGAACAAGATGGTAGACTTAAACTCAGATCAATAATTTTATTAAATGTAAATGGTCTAAACACCCTAATACAACATTAGAGATAAAAAGTAAAACTCTCTGTATCTATCTACAGGACTCGCTCTTAAAATCTACAGATTCAGATAAGTTAAAAGAAAGGATAAATAAAGATCTGCCATGCAAATGGTAATAAGAAAATTGGAGTGAGTTCATTAATGTCATCTGAAGTAGACTTCAAGGATAATGAAAGGCCATTTTTAATGATAGAATGTTTAGTTCATTAAGAAGGCAAGACAATTCTAAATATGTATGCACCTAATAAGCAGAGTTGCAAAATACAGGAAAAACAAATCCACAACTAGTGTTGGAGACTTCAATAGTTCTCCGTTTCTGTGAAAAGATTAAAAAACTTGAAATCTGTTGCTAGATTTATCAGGAAAAACAGAGAGCAGAACTGAATTACCAGTATTAGGATTTTAAAGAAAGGAATTCCTACAGATCCTTCAGACATTAAATTGATAATAAGTGACTGTGATGAATGACATTGTGACAATCAATTTGACAATTTAGAGTGAGTGGACAAATTCCTTGAAAGACACAAATTACCTAAAGAGGCACAAAAAAAAAAAAAAAAAAAGAGAAAAACCTGAATAACCCTGGTTATCGAAGAACTTGAATTTGTAATTTAGGACTTTATAAAGAGAACTTCAGGCCCAGATTATTTCACTCATAAGTTCTATACAATATTTAGGAAATAAATACTACTAGTAGACACAGTTAGAAAATAGAGAGAACACATGCCAATCCATTTTTTGAGAATATCAATACTATCATGCCAAGAGAAGACTACGATGTAAGAAAAGAGAATAACCCCACAGATTAATATCTCATTAATATAAATATAAAAATTCTTAATAATATTTTAAAATGGAATTCATCATTATATATAAAAATGATAAATTATTTTAAAATGGAATCCATCATCATATATAAAAATATTATGACCAAGTAGGTTTTAATTTTAGAAATGCAATGTTGGGTTTTTCATTTGAAAATAAATCAGTGTAATTTGCCATATAAAAGAATAAAGGAAAAATATACTATCAGCCAAATGGAGGCAGAAA